ACACACACACACACACACACACACACACACACACACACACACACACACAAATAGCTGGAGTTTTGATCACATCATGCTGGCCACCAGCTCAACTTTTTCTGACCATACACTGTGATTACTAGAGGTGGGTTTCTACCAGTTCGGACCAGTTCGGCTGAACCGGTAGTGGTTTGGCGGCCTGGGTCACTGAAACCAGCAACGACCCAGGCCTGCCACTCCCCCAAACTAGTTCTTGGTGCCACCATTTTGTTTTTTGCTTATGCGCATACGCAGAACAATTTTTATTGCACTCTGCATGCATGTACAGTGTGCATCAAGCCACATGCCCATGAGTGAACCGGCAGTAGTGCCTGCCGGAACCCACCCCTGGTGGTTACCCTTGCCTGGAAGAATACTCTAGAGTCAGTGAAAACTCCCAATACATCTTTCAAACCATAAACATATTAATTTGGCCTTTTTTGTAACTCTCACTTAATCAGTTGGTTAGGTTGGTTTATGTACTAAAGATCTAATTTTGTATTTTCATTGCATTAACCTCCTACTTTGCAATTGTTTGTTATTTAGAATCCACCAATACGTGCACATGCAGAGAAGCTGGACAATGCAGCGAAACTGGAACAAGCATTTGTGTCAGTGTGAATGGAAGTCCAGAACAACAGACTATGACGGAATGCGAGGCTGGCATCCTCAGATGCAATGGAGACAATGTCAGTGTAATTAGCATCAGACCTTGTGTTACACAACAAATTTCCCAATAATTAATGCCATTGATAATAGAACTCTGTGGACAATGTGATTAACAACGAAGAGGCAGAAAAATAGAGACAAGAATGCTATTGAAATTAGCAAAATATCTCTTTCTGTTAAATAATACATGGAAGAAACAGTTTGCAAACATTTTATTGTTTAGAGCAGCCCAGTGGGGGGAAAAAAATACTCAACGTTTTCTAAACCAAGAATCCCTTTTGGCATATCTCAATGATAGGCTAGAGGCCACAGTCCCAAAAATAATAGCTGATTTAAGGACCTCAAAACTAATTAAGTTTTATTTTGTTTGCAGATTAAATGCTGTTAATATAACTACTTTTAGTTATGCAGTATATTTGATAATTTCCACTTCTGTAGGCCACGTGCAGTGCAACCCCAGGAATTTAAGTTGAGTACTTCTGCACTAAGGGATAAAGGAAATTTTGACTAGCTAACAACAACTGTAATGATGTTAGCATTTGGCAGGCTACTTGTTTAGCGAGCTGCATTCTGCCCGGCATTCTGGACACCTGCCATAACCCATCTCCCTTTCACCTTGTCTTACTAAAATAACGAGACAGATGATGGGCTGATAGATTTTTTGTAACACTCCTGAAATATTCCGCTTCTGGACTTTTTGATTGAAACTGAAATCACTGAAACTTTGATTTTAGGTTTTAATGATTAGAATGATTTTATGTAATAGAAATGGCTTGACATGTTGAGAAATGTGAGGCAAAAGGTTAAAAGGTGTAATTCTTTATTTTTTGTACTCTACTGCACTGAACAAAGTTAGAAGTTGCCACTATTTTTTTTTCCTTACTTTCTTTTTGCACTTTACTTTCTCTTAATTTTCTGGCTTTTGTTCCTTTTTGTGGTTTTATCTTGCAATAAGCCTTAATAAAAAAGTTTTTGAGCAAGCAAGCAGTCCTGAAATATTCAAAGAAATTGACTTTTCATATCAATAAATCTTGTTTAAAAAATGTGGTAGTGTGATTTCTTCAGTGTGATTCACAGACCTTACCTTTATTGATCTTTGAACAAACTCAAAAGAATTTCAGCAAGTTTGAAGTTCAGCGAATATGCAAATCAACAGTGATAGATAAACAATAATTACTGCACAGCTTAGAAGCATGAAATCATCAGTTCATGTGCTGAAAGGAGCAATCAGCCTTTAAAGGAACACTCCATCCTGCAACACTTAGAGCTAAATGAACTTAATATGAACTTAAATGAAAGCCAATAGACTGTCAAACTCCCAGCCTGCAGACCGGATGTGTCACATGCTGGCCATGCCCACGTTCTGTTTAGCCAAGGGGGGAAAGTCCTGATACGCCACATGACGTATGTGAGTTTGACACCCCTGCAATAGAGGATTATAATGGCGGGCAATCTTCCATCTATGTGCTATACATTCTCTCTCCCCCCTGCTCCTCCCAAAATCCAGCTAAAAAGACCTCTCATGACTTAAAGGCAAGAGGGATGAAATCTTAAGAGTTGAGAGATGAACCTTATCATCCTTAACCTGAGGGCCACGAGAGACTTCCAGCGATCCAATAATGTACAGATGAGGTATGGCCAATCTATCCAACCCATTGTTCTGATCTGGCTTCCCCAAAAAGCACGAGGCAGAGTCCTGGTCCTGACAAAACCCTTTTTATTAAACAAATGTGAATTCCTCTCATTCACATTCAGCAAGGCCTTTGCAAACAGTCTTTCAAAGGAAT